AAGCAGGTCAGGAGCAACACTAATTTTTGTAGGACAGATAAGGCTTTCAACACTAGTAACAGATACGGAGTTGAAGAAAGAAGAAAGAAAAAATTGATAAAACGAAAAGAAAAAAAGAAAAAAAAAATGCGGAAGAAAAGAACAAAGAAAACAAGAAAAAAGAAAACAAGTAATAAGAAAACAAGAAAAAAGAAAAGAAAAGAAAGAATAGGTTGAACTTTGCTGTGACAGTGGCAATTGGTTTATCTGTGGGATGTGTCATTTGTTTTGTTTGATTGATAGGCCTTCCTCTTCCCTCGTCTTTTCTTTGACGGAATCCCTTTCTCTTTCTCTTGCCTCTGTGAAGTTTGGTTTCCTCCTTTTCTTTACCTCTTTGCCTTTTGGCTGCGTGCAAGTGGGTCCTTGTGACACACGGGGATGGGGGCAGCACTCAACCTGTCATCCACGTGGCTGGCCTTGTACGTAAGAGGTGTTGAACATGCGGAGCTATCCTTCGTTCTTTCCTTTTTTTGTTTCGTCTTTTTCCGCCTTTGTGCTCTGATTCACAGTGTGACATTCACTGTGTGACAAATATACAGCCCCTCGTTTGTTGTTGTCTTCTCCCTCTCTGCCTACGGTTTACCGGGCAGCTCGGTTTGGCGCGCGCGCACGTGCGAGGGAGAGAGAGAGAGAGAGAGGACAACAAACTAGGGGCTGTGACAAACTACCGTGGGTGTTTTGCTGGAATGTGATGGGTTGTGAACCGACAGTCTGTAGAGTGGCTTGTGATGGTGTGTGAACCGACAGTCTGTGGTGATTTTCATCACAGGTACCTTGAGGGCAGTGGTTGATGCCCACCTCAGGTTATCAGTTGTCGGGCAGTTGTTGATGCGTAACCACAGCCGGGGTTAAGGTGGATTATCACTTAACAGTGTAATCATCAGGTTCGGGGATTCTGCAGACTGTTGAGGGTTCAGCCTCCTGATGAGTCTGCAGACTGTTGAGGGTTCAGCCTCCTGATGAGTCGGTGAAACTCCGACGAAACAGTTTGTCACAGCCGCTCGTTTGTTGTCCTCTTCTCCCTCTCTGCCTACAGTTTACCGGGCAGCTCTGTTTGATGATATATTCACAGTGTGACAATATATATATACTGTCGCCGTCTGTCCTGAAGGGTGTCCAACATTTCCTCATTGTACACATCCCTATCACCCAGATACACGTTGTCCCTATTGTGCCCAAGGACGCTATCAGAACTGTATGATGCCGCACTGTGATGAACGCCCTGCCGTGTTTTTGACATGTGGACAACACGTCCTCTGTCAGGACTGTTTTGATGGGATGGTTCGTGCTAVCCGTCCTGCAGAATGCTGTGCTGGBGCRGCTCTCCTTGGGCATCCTTRTGAACATCCACATCATCCTCACCGTAGCTGTCCTATCTGCCGAGGTGGGGGCAGGTAAAGAAAAAAAGAAGAAAAGAAAAAGAGAAAAAAAGAAAAAAAGAAAAAAGAGAAAAAAAGAAAAAAGGGTTTCCTCCTCCCTTTCTTTACCTCTTTGCCTTTTGGCTGTGTGCAAGTGGGTCCTTGTGACACACGGGGATGGGGGCAGCCAGCGCTCAACCTGTCATCCACGTGGCTGGCCTTGTGCGTAAGATGTTATGAACAGGTGGAGCTTTCCTTACCTCTTCCCCTTCCCCTTTTTTCTTTCCCCTTTTGTGCGCTCTGATTCACAATGTGACAATATATATCTTTGCCCTTTGGCTGTGTGCAAGTGGGTCGATATGACACACGGGGTGGGGGCGGCCGCCGCTCAGCCTACATCCACGTGGGCGGTATGCAAGATAAGAAAACGATTTATTTTTTTTAATTTTTCTTTTTCTGTTTCTTTCGCCTTTGCTCTCTTATATTCATGTGACGATATATACTGTCTAGGCTACCAGCCGGGCCGCCGGGTCCCGGGTGGCCAGCCCGTGCTAGGACCAGGGATTCGGGCAAGGTCTCAGCCAAAAAAAAAAAAAAAAATCCAAAAAATCCAAAAAATCCAAAAAATCCAAAAAATCCAAAAAATCCAAGAAATCCAAGAAATCCGAAAAAAAATCCAAAAAATCCAAAAAATCCGAAAAAAAACCTATGTTATGCAAAAAAATAAACTGAACAACTTTTGCCTCAGGGTCACATCGAAATTCTTCACCAAATTTTGAATAATTTTCAATAAAAATTATTATTATTATTATTATTATATTATGATTATTATTATTATTATTTTGCCCGGCCGGGCAAGTGACCCCGGGCCACTCTGGTAGCCTAGTATACTATGACGTTGTGTCGGGCCTGTGCTAGCAGGCTCTTCTTTGGTTATGGTAGAAAATATTTTCCTAATTCTCCCTTTTTTTGCTTTGTTCTTCCCCAATTATGGGGTATTTCGTTTTGCGGACCTACTGTATGGTTCCGTTTTTTTTCTATGGATATGGTAGAATTTGTTTTGGTAACCTTGTCTGCATCCTGGTTGACAAGAGTTTTGTCCTGGGTGGTCTTGTCCTGTCGTTTGGCATGTGAAGGAGGGGCAGTGCGTGCATGTGGGACTTGTCATCTAGGATCCGTTTTTGGTGCTATTGCTTGTGGCTGTTCCCTTCCTCTTTTCTTTGCCTCTTTGCCCTTTGGCTGTGTGCAAGTGGGTCGATATGACACACGGGGTTGGGGGCAGCCGCCGCTCAACCTACATCCACGTGGGCGGCCTTGTACGCAAGAGGTTCTGAACAGGGGGAGTTATAAGGAAGAAGATAAAAAACTGAATTCATTTTTTCCTGTTTTTCTCCCTTTTTTTTTTCTTTCCTTTTTTTTTGCATTTGTGTGCTGATATTCTTGTGACTATATATATATATCAGCCTCCTGATGAGTCGGTGAAACTCCGACGAAACAGTTTGTCACAGCCCCTCGTTTGTTGTCCTCTTCTCCCTCTCTGCCTACGGTTTACCGGGCAGTTCTATTTGACGATATATACTATATATATAAACTGTTTGTGACGATATATATGAAACTCCAATGAAACAGTTTGTCACAGCCCCTCGTTTGTTGTCCTCTTCTCCCTCTCTGCCTACGGTTTACCGGGCAGCTCTGTTTGACGATGTATATATGTATATTGGGACGTCGGCAGGCTCGTTCATTCTCCCCTCCTAGTCCCCCTTCCTCTTGACGTCGTGTTGATGCTAATTTGAGGGGTTCTTTGTCTTACCGACAACCTGCTCTGCCACGTCGGCGGTGTTCGTCATTTATGCGCCGACCCCGCCAGATCACAGCTGGCTTTCCGGTGGTGACCGATTCGGATCTGCGGGCAGACCTACCAAATTCTTGTGGTTTGACAGCCACAAATGTCTGCCTACAGGCTTATCAGCGTCAATGTTATACTGCGTCACAGTTTGTTACGATTGCTTATCAGCTTGACGCTGTTGAAAATCGGTTGTTGTATGACCATAATAGCCCACCTCCTGAAGGTAGTAAATATACTACCTCAGGAGGCTTTGCTGTAAATGTCTTACAGTTAGCTTTCCATGGTCGCCACCTTCTTATGCATCATGCGACGCCAGGCAATGACCTCAATGACCATCCTCATATTTCTGCCTGTATTTTACACAGACCCGGGCATTATATGGCACTCGTTCGTGTAGCCGCCCAGTGGGAACTGTGGGATGGTGGGACGATGATTCAGGCTATTTCCAACGGAAACGAGTTTTTGGGTGCATTGCAGAATCATACTTTATTCTGGATTATTGACCGACTCTTGTGTGACACCTGTTGGGGCAGAGACGCGGTGCGTCTTGGTTGTGGCATTCATCATCTATGCCATCACTATTATCAATCTATTGCGACTACCGCTGTCTGTGCTGAAGGGTCTGTGCCCAAGGACGCTATCAGAACTGCATGATGGCGCACTGTGATGAACGTCCTGCTGTTCTTTTGACATGTGTACATGTCCTCTGTCAGGACTGTTTTGATGGGATGGTTCGTGCTAGCCGTCCTGCTGAATGCTGTGCTGGCGCAACTCTCCTTGGGTATCCTTGTGAACATCCACATCATCCTCACCGTAGCTGTCCTATCTGCCGAGGTGGGAACAGTTAAAAAAAAAAGCAAAAAAAGAAAATAAGAAAATAAGGAAAAAGAAAAAAATGTTGATCTGTGGGATGTGTTATTTGCTTTGTGACAATTGGATTATCTATGGGATGTGTCATTTGCTTTGTTTCCCTGTCAGGAGGTTTCCTCCTCCTTTTCTTTACCTCTTTGCCTTTTGGTTGCGTGCAAGTGGGTCCTTGTGACACACGGGGATGGGGGCAGCCAGTGCTCAACCTGTCATCCACGTGGCTGGCCTTGTACGTAAGAGGTGATGAACAGGTGGGGCTTTCCTTCTTTTCCTTTCCTTGTTTTGCCTTTTCCGCCTTGCGCTCCGATTCACAGTGTGACAATATATATGTGATGATATATATATACGTTTGTTGTCCTCTTCTCCCTCTCTGCCTACAGTTTACCGGGCAGCTCTGTTTGATATTATATATATGACAATTGACGATATATATACAGCTCCTCGTTTGTTGTCCTCTTCTCCCTCTCTGCCGATGGTTTTTAATATATAGACGACGATATATAGACGATATATCTCCTGATGAGTCGGTGAAACTCCGACGAAACAGTTTGTCACAGCCCCTCGTTTGCTGTCCTCTTCTCCCGCTCTGGCTACGGTTTACCTGGCAGCTCTGTTTGAGGATTATGTTTCACAGTGTGACAATATATATATGTCCGGACCATAAGTTTGATGTTTGGCGTTGATGGTGTTAGAGTTGATGTCCTCATACCTGCTAGACCTCAGGGGAGGCATTGCGATTTTTGGATTGACACCTTGTACCTGCTAGACCTCAGGGTAATTCCGTTTTCTTTTTGTTTTCTCTAAGGATGATTCCTTTCAGCCGTTTCGTGTTTCTGCATTTGACTGATTGTGGTTGTGGCCAATTCTTTTGGTGGAATCCTGTGGTCCAGGGAAATCGAAGGATGTGTATCCACGGGAACTACAAAATGTACTCCCCCGTGTGTTGAATGCGTTGGCCCCGGATGGGGCCAGAGGGAGGAGCAATCGGCAGCTCTGTTACCAGGTGAGTCGTCTGTTTGTTTGACTATTCCCGTCTCTTATGTTCCTTCATCTTGATCTTGTTGCCAATTGGCACGTCTTCCACCCCAAAGATCTGTAGCAGACTAGTGAGTGCGAGCTTCATTTGTATCCTCTCTCTTTTTCCCTTCGATGTCAGTCTCTTGACATGTGGTTGGTGCTGTCTGGTGGGGAGCTATCGCACGGCAGGGCAGAGGAGGTCTGCGCTAGCCGTTCTTGTGCAATGCTGAGTGTGGGACCTTCATGACTCTCCATTCAAGACATTGTGAAACGTTTTCATCGAAAACAGTTCGTCCCTCTTAGAAAAGCTAGACACACATGCTGTAATGATGAATCGGTGAACGCCTGGTTGAAAGAAGACAGTATGACTGGTTTCACAAACAGAGGAAAAGGAACCTAAAATGACAGATTTTCGTCCAGCCAACAGTGCCCGTGAATGTCTCTTCGGACCATATCTTGCCTCGAACAATGGATCTGCAAACCCTGACCCCTTTTTTGGTGTTGTTGTTGCCATCATGATGTGGACAGGTGCTGACTTGCTGGATGGAGCGCAGAGTTCTTCCGGTGAAGGTAATGGAGAAATATTTGGCCCAGCTCAAGGTGCTGAACAATGGCATGGCATACAGACAACGTCCTTCTGATCGTGCAGTTCACGACGTTTTTCCCGACTTGGAATCATATGCCAGTTACGATTTTGACGAGTATGGCAGGTTGGTACCTCTGGCCACGACTTTTTCAATTGCTCACCTCAGATTCCATAACGACTCCATAACGAGTTGCGCTACTTCGAATCCTCGTAAATAGAATGGTGCCAAGTCTCCGATCGTGGTCTAATTGCTCACGGAGTCCGCAGTTTGAAAGCTGTTGAGCTCAATGGTTAGCCTGAGGTCCTGATCATCCTGTATAGTTACCCGCTTCCACATTTTGATTAACGAGTTCGCCGCTGGACTGTGTCCAATCCAAGAGAACGTCTTTTCAAATATGAAAACAATGCTGCGCATGTATAGCCCGAGAAAGGCAGTCGGGTGTTCTTTTGAAGCATGTGGTAAATACAAAGAATGTGACAAAATCATATTCATTGGTGCAGAAGGTTTGAACAAAAAGAAGCTGAAAAAGAGAGGAAAACAAAGAGAACAGCGGGAAGACTGTATGGATGACAAATCTGCAATTAAGTTGAATTAGCCTGATTGATGTAAAATAAAACACGAAAGAACACTCTGATTTAGCACTCGGTTAGGGAAGGAGGTTGTATTCCAGGTTGAATTGCGTGGTTGGTTATTGCTGTAGTGACATTATGTGCGGTGGTTTTACTGACCACTTCCAAATTGCATGATGTTGTCGCCATTATGTGGAACTGTTAGTTTCTGTATGCCTGGCCTGATTGTCACATGTCAAGAGTCTGTGACTCTTTGCCTTATGACCATGGGTACCCAACTATTCTTGGAAGGTAGCCGTGGCGAAATTGGAAAGGTGATGGTTAATGACTGAATGATGTATGATGAAGGAAGAGAACACAAGGAAGAGAGAAGGAAGTGAATGAGAAGAGGATGCCATTGTTTCGTCTTGTCTACCTTTTTTCCTTATTCATTTCGTCCTATATGATATTAGTGAAGTGTCTGTGACAATTTGCATCGCTCGTCTGGCTGACGTTGAAGACTATTGCGTTGTGATTGTTGTCTGGCTGACGTTGAAGACTATTGTGTTGTGATTGTTGCGCATACTGTTGTCCTCGGGCACAAAATGGAAAAAGAAAACAAGTACATCTGGCCACAGAAGGGGGCAGAATACATTTGTTACTATTCCAGAACAAAAGAGAAGTGCATTTGCCCACATAAGGTGCCGAAAAACAGATGAATCGTTCCATAATCTGTGGGAAGATGCACTTGTTCATCTTCTGTTTCCTGTGTCAAAATTGCCATGCTGTGATGAATGCCCACACCACTGCAATGTTGGTGACATTGTGCATGCTCGCAGCACTGCACGTTGGTGGATGTTAAGATGAATGCTAACACCACTGCATGGTGGTAATGGTTTTCTGTTGTTGTGCCAGCAATTTCATACATGCATCACGTCTCTTTTCTGGAACTATGGGGGACCCTGCTGCTTCACGAGCGAGTGTGCTGAACCTTGGCAGAGACCTCTCACCAGATTCGGTGATGGCAAAAAGCCTGGAGAGAGTCATGAGGCTGGATACTCCGGCTAAAGAGTCTCACGGGACACCAAGGAAGAATGGCGCACCCCAACAAATTATGGTAGAGGAAGCACTTTCTCCAGTGGTGATGGATTTGAAGGTGGGGGGAAGAGGTGGTGTGGGTGCAGGAGGGTCGTGTAGGTTCAACAAACCATGGGGAAGTGGTGGTTTGGTGGGAAGGGAAGTGGGCCGGAAGTCTGAGGGAAGGACTGATGCTGTGGCGGTGAGCTGCAGGCCGAAGTTGGAGCAAGACTCCGCTGCTGGTGAGAAGTCGAGGGTAAACCTTGCCCGAGGTAACCCTGGAGGATATCATAACAGCACCAAAGTTCATCGGGAAGAACTGGTCAATGTTAATTCTGTTCCCCAGCAAGGACGCGAGGTGATGGGGCAGCAGAGGATTGGGTTGATGACAATGCGGGGGCAGCGGCAGCGACAGGCGGAGGAGAGTCTGCCTCAACACGATTGCCCGAGTGCTGCGAGGAATGTGGCGGCTGTTGATCCTTTGCCACAAGATGGCAACGCAGTGCGTGCGCACATGGCAGCCAGCAGGAATGCTTGTGCTGTAGCGAGCTCGCAGAGTAACACATTCAAGGTATTCGCAAAGCGACAACAGCAAGAAGCAAAAGAAGATAGTACTTTTGCCAGATTGAGGCAGACTGGGAAAGATGAAGATGATTTTGTGAGATTGCTAGAGGTTGCAGTAAGAAGTGCACAAATGGCTTCTGATGCAGAAGCAGGGGTAGTGCCCTCTGTCCCCACCGCAATAGCAAACTCTAGACAGCTAGGATGTGCTCCCCGCCCTCCTTGCAATTATGCAAGTGCATGGTTAGTTGAGGAACAGGAGCGTTCGAAACGCACCGAGGATGGATCTGCAGGGGCTTGCCAAGCATCTGAGACCCGTCCAGACTCCTGTGCAGGACCAACAGGTGATGACTCGAGCTTCCAAGATGTATCAATATTAGGCTTGGCACGGTCCATGGAGTCGGGGGGCTGGAGGGCCCGAGGAAGTAATGGCAGTGGTGATGGTATGCTGCACACATGTGGATCGCCCATCGGCAGGATCTCCGAGCAGACTGGAGAGGGGCGGGGAGAGGAATTGATTGCTTGCCATGGTGTGAGCCCGAGCCAGAAGACAGCTGAAACTACCCTATACACTGGGCTTTTGCGAGTGAAGCCCAGCCAATCACACGGGTCCTCACCTACGGATCGTGTTCAGGAGCAGGGTTCTGCTGGTCGGAAAGTGCCACCTCCACCTCCACCACCCCCGCCCCCCCCACCGCCTCCTCCTCCGCTGTCTTTGCGGTTGGTGAGTGGTTACATGGTAGACAGTCAGCTGCCTGTACTCGAGCAGAATCGGCAACACAGAGCACAAGGTCGGCAAGTGCGCACTGTCTCAGATGTGACGGCCCAGGATTGCCAGATGCAAGTTCCAGTAGGCACAGTGGCGCATTTTGCTGCTGATAATGTACATATCCCAGGAGGAAACAATGATGATCTGTGTGCCTCCATACCATCACCTGTACAGTCCGACCCTGTGGGCGATGGGGTGATGAAATTATCTCCTGTCGTTACATTTTTGGCAGAGGCTACAGCGAATGCGGATTTATGCCAGGCGGCCAACATTTCTGTGAGTCGGGCGCCTGTAAGTCTACCGCCTTTGAGCCTGCCGTCTGTAAGTATACCCGGTGTGGGCATGCCAACTCTCAGTCTACCTGTGTTTGGCAATGGATACTCGGTAGAACTGCCGTGGGCGCGAGCGGATGCTTCTGATTACACATGCAAGGATATGGGAGTTGAGGGACCACCTCTGAAGAGGTGTGCAGTGGATACGGGGAGTGCGCATAGCGCTGGAGGGGAGTCTCCTCAACTGCAGTTCTCTGGAATGAGCGGTGATGGCTTTGCAACAGTTGGCTCCTCTGCAGGTACCTCTGTGGGTATGAGTGCTGTTGCAGCTCCTCCGCAGCAGCCGGTGATGAAGCAGGAGCACCAAAGCGAACCGTTAAATCTGAGCAATATGTCTCCACAAATGGGGCAGGTGCCATCTGATGGAGTGGCCGGATCCACACCATCGCAGCCCCAGATTTCACCGTGTTCCTTGTCGATAGTGGCTGGAGACGTGGATGTGTCCTCTCAGACGACAGTGTCGCCATTGGATGGCCCTCCATCTGTCCAGCTAACTGGGAGGCAGCAATCCGGGTGTGGGTTGCCGCCAGAGAGTTCATTTAACATCCTTTACACAGGAGTTGTAGGCGGTCCTCAGACGTTTGGATCTGAGGCGCATAATGACTTGAATCAGCCAAACACAAAAGAGGATGGTTTTGTGGTTGCCAGCACTGTTTCGGCTTCTGCTGCTGCTGCCACTCCACAATGCTGTAAGGTTCAAGGCACATCATCTGCTAACGAAATGGACAGTAATTTTGTCAATGCGGAGAATTGTATGCAACTGGGTGCGCCCATTGCAAATAATCATGATGATATACAGTGTACAGCAAATGTGGAGGAATCGGGGAGACCAAATGTGAATAGTGGTGTGGTTGAGATGGAGAAGTCACAAGCTTCGGGTTTGTATTACAAAGCTGATGCAACTCCTGACTCAGTGATGCATCCGCAGCAGCAGCTGAGCGAGTTCTCCACTCCTATGCATGCAGCAGATGAAGTGGCCCAGCCATTGTCGATATCTGCTACAGAGTGTGAGGGTAGTGATGCTGCCGTCCAGTTGTTGGAGAGGTTTGGGGATATGGAGGATTCTTGCAATGCGACCAGTCTATATGAAACTAGTCCCTTACCAAATAGTTACCAAACGGTGGGTGACTTACAGGACCTGGCACCCCCTGCGTGCTCGACATATCTTGCATTGGAGGGTGTTATCGATGGAGTGTCCAGCATGCCCCCGGTGCCCGAGGCAGCACTTGTTCATATGCCAGAGGGTAGATTTGATGGTTGTGGAACATCTGCAGGGCCTGATGTGAGTGGGTTCAATGGCAGTGCTTCACGTGCCAGCAGTGGGCAGGCACAACTGGTATCTAATAACTATGTGGGAGCACAAGTGATGGACGTCAGGGAATCGTCAGGGTTACAAGCCATGGAGAACGCAAGCTGTGAGATGGAGCAAAGTCAATCAGGCAGTGGTGGAACATACAGTGATGAATGTGTGCCAATGGTGATAGCCGAGAACATGGCCCCTGAGACCCCAATGCAGTGCTCGGGGTTGGCTCCACTCCCTACCTCGCCACCACCATTGCCACCATCCCCCCCTCCATTGCCGTCTTCACCCCCTCCGTTTCAACCACCTCCACCACCCTCTCCACCTCCCACTCCCCCGTCTCCAATCCCAATGCAACTGTCATCACCACCTCCCCTCCCACCATCCGGGACGCCACCCTTCCAACCMCCCCCCCCCCCYCCSYSCCTAAGTCCTGATTTACCAGTGGCTCCTCCCCCCCCTGAAAGAGTGCTGACTGGCATGCAGATTGGGCATCCTTTCGCTTCTTCAGGGATGGAGGAAGTGCCAACCTTCCCTCTCGTCTCCTCCTCTTGCACTTCTCTACCTTTTCTGTCAGTTACAAGTGCACAAGATGGACGGCGACCTCTCGACTTGGAAGTCCAACAACACAGTCAACGAATGTTTCTGCAGCAGCAGCCTCCGTCGCTGAAGTCTCAAGCTCAGGTCCAGGTGCAGGGCTACTCTAGTAACCCGCTCCTGTGCTTTGTTAATCCGATGCCAGCATTTCAGCAGCCTGCCCCCTCTTTGAAAGGTGACTAATTGTTTCAATATTTCACTGCCACTACTTTGGTGACGAGTGTTTGTCTGCTTGTGCATTGTCAGTATTGGATGGGAAACCAGCTTCACGAGTAACACAGCATCCTCAAGTGCGGGAGTGAATGCTGTGAAGTGTGCATGGGGGTTTTGCGCGCTCTGCAGGAAACCTTTGCGGCTTTAGGATGCAGAGCTGAGTCAAAATCATGTATATTACCTCTTTGTTTGGTGTTGAGAGGACAATCATAAAGGGAGGTATGCGCGAGGGGACCATGATGGGGTAGAAGGCAGGCATCATGTGGGTTTGACCCTGGTTCTGTGCAGGTAGTTTGCAGCAACAGGTTGACCTGGTCATTTTTTTCATTGCAATGTGTGTTCTTTTATATGATATAAATGTAACATATGACAACGACTTCTTGTGGAGGCGCAATCCCTTTGCCTTGCCCGTGTCCATGTGTGTTAGTGAATGTATTTGGCAGTCGTCTATTGCTGTTCGACTGACCAGAGGAGCTGGTAATGGTTAGATTGGGAGGGTGAGTGTTGATGTTTAGCATCCCCAACACGGACCCTGAAACAAGGTGAGAAAAAGTGAGTGTAGACCTTTGTTGCACCGACTCGTCAAAGAAGAATGTTGGGAAATGTGTCAGAACATTGTGAAATATGGGAGGTTTGAGGCTGTGCCATGGGTTTCATCTTCCCCAACATGTCACCGTGGTCTTGTGGAGGGAGATCTTGAGAGTGGTTTCTCGTTACCATCTCGCCAAAGATGAAAGTCAGTAACCAATGGGCTTAGCTCAATTGGTACACCCATCAACTGTTGAAATACAGACCCAAGTCCGAATCCAGATGCAACAAAGGTGACCAGAATAAAATAATTCAGAATTACCTGGGGCCGGTCAGTTCAATGAGGATATCTCAAGGCTGTCACCCTTGAAAAGAAAAGAACGATCAAGGCGACGACCCTTAAAAAAAAAAGAACGAAGAAAGAACTCCAAGAAAGATGACACTCAGTAAATGTGTCAGATTATTGTGAAATGTCGGATGCTGAAACGCCACCACAGTTTTTGTCTTGCCCAATCCGTGGGCTTGAGGAGAGATATCGTTCTGATGTCTCTGTCAAATGACTTTGGTGGGGAGTTCCAGAGGCTTGCTCCTTGCAATTCTCTAAAATCGAAGGGTTGAGGATGGGGCCACGACACAAAGTTAGCTACAAGGAGGGCGAGTGAGTATCTGGTTCACCGTGAAACAACTTCGGTGGGGAGGTGCAGATGCTCGATTCCATCAGGACCAGCTTAGCTTCATGTAGGGCAAGTGAGTACCTGTTCGGAGCAGTTGGGTGAAAAGCTTCTTTGCCTTCACCACCACTTGCCATGAAGAATGTCAAATGGCCAATAGCGGGATGAGGCACTAGAACACCTGTACCTAGTGTCTCAAAATCAATCGAGCAAGCTCACAGGTCGCCTTGGTTTCAATGCCTGTAGCCTTCGTGCGCCACGAAGTTCAGACTATATCATCATCCCAAGCAGGGATGTCTGGCGTGTAGTCGTTGAGGGGCGCAGCGCATGTATCAACACATGACTTCCCTGCTGATTGTCCGCACCGACACATTTGTCATTTGGTCGGATACTCGGCGGAGTTCCCAGCGTATATCCAGCTTCGCGCCTACACAGGAAATTTCAAATGGTCGCGCAAGACCAAACAAGTTCAGCCAGAAATCGGACAAGCAATGGGCTGGTGCTTTGCAAAAGGGCATGAAGTTTGCTGTAAACATCTTTTTGCCATCACCACTGGTCTTCATGAAAATGTTTAATGGCAAGTGGTTGAATGAGGCCCTGAACCACCAGTGCCTAGCCCAGGTACACATCAAAACACATCGACTAACATGTTGCTGCAGAAAGACTCATCTTACTAGACCAAAAAGGCTGGTGATGCCTTGTAGGCCCTTGCCCCGATGGACCAAAAAGGGTGGACCAGAAAGACACCCGTTAACATCACTCGTTACTAGTTCAGGGGCCGGCGAAGTCCAGTATCTCTACACTATTGAAATTGCTAAGGGAACCAATCTCTGATCTGGGCCCTCGTTGGTCCTTCTGGCCTACGGCTAGGATCGTCTGAAACATGTAGTAAATCTGAAATCCCGGCCGTTGGGTCCTACCGGATTGACGGGCTGGATTGGCGTGTGGTCGTAAGATCACGCGTCAATCCAGACTGTTGGCCCGGTACCTCGGGCCCAAGATTAATCAGGAACAATCGAGGTCTTTTGCTGGGAAGTGGTTTGCCCGTTGGAGCAGGCCGTTTCTGTGCACGGGCTTGGTTCCCGAAAGCTGCCCCTTTCGGCAGCGTCATGGAAAAATCCTACGGAGTGCATAACTACTTTTTGGTGGCGGTGCGTGTACTGTTTTTAGGTGGCGGCACGCACGTTTTTGGTGGCGGCACGGGCAAATCCCACGGCGTGGGAAAGATCGACCCCTACACTACTCTACGCTTGACTTCGACTTTACTACTTCACTCTGTACTACCACGCTCGACTTCGACTTCACACACACACACACACATACACAAACACATGCAGACGCACGGATGCTAGCACCCATGCGCACACCCGCCTGCACGCACACACGCACAAACGCACATGTGCTTTCTCTATCTTCCTTTGTCCTCCCTCTCTGAAACACACGACATGGTGAGTTCTTATCCATCAGCCAAATTCATCCCGGGCAGACTGTCGGGGTTCAACCTCCTGACGAGTCGGTGGAAGTCCGACGAAACAGTCTGGCTTAGTCGTACTTTTTTTATGGAGTTGTGTATAGCGAACATAATGACACACACATACACAAGCACACCTAGAGAGAGAGAGGGAGAGAGGGGACACGTCTTGCAGCACGAATTACTAAGCTGGATCGATTGATTGGGGCATGAGAGGGGGGGAGGGAGCGAGAGAGAGAGAGTGATCGACTGCACACACACACACACACACACACACACACAGACACACACACACACACACACACACACACAGAGAGAGAGATTGATCGAGTGCAGTCGGCCGTTGGATGTGGTGAGTGGTTGGCCGGCGTCATGGGTAGGCCGTGAGATGTGCCTGGGCACAGTGATTGGCATGGAATGTTCGACGGTCGACGCCTGAACGACGCACAAAGACGGGAGATTCAGGTCAGTGACCACCCGTCCCTCCCCAGCCTCCACTCCTCCGTCGCCCCTCCGCTCATCCCCTCGTCCGCCAGCGCTCCCCTTCTCTCTCCCCCACCAGTGCTCCCCTCCACTCCCCTGTGCCAACACTCCCCTCCGCCAGCACTCCCCTCCACTCTCCTCCGCCAGCACTCCCCTCCACTCCCCTCCTCCCTGCCGCCAGCGCTCCCCACTACTCCCCTCCCCTCCGCCAGCGGTACTCTCGACTCTCCTCCTCCGTACTGCCAGCGCTCGCCTCCACTCACCTCCTACCCTCCGCCAGCGCTCCCCTCCCCTCCCCTCCACCCGCTCTCCTCCACCTGTGTTCCTTGCGCTCCCCTCAACCAGCGCACCCCCCGCCTGTGGTCTCCTCCACTGTTGCTTCCCTCCACTCCCTTCCGGCCGCTCCCCTCCACGTGCGCTCCCCCCCTTCCTCTGCTGCTCTTCCACCTATCGGCTGCTCCTCCGGCCCTTCCCCTCGGCTGCTCTCCGCCCCCGAGCTGCTCCGTCTCCACCTATCCACCGCCGCTCACACCCCCTTCTCTGCTGCTCTTCGCACCAGTGCTCCCCTCTGCCAGCGCTCTCCTGCACCAGCGCTCCCCTGCACCTGCACTCCTTTCCACTCCCCTCCGCCAGAGCTCCCCTGCGCGTGCGCTCCTTTCCACTCCCCTCTGCCAGCGCTCATCTCCACCCCCTCCACCGCATCCTCACCAGCGCACCTCTGCCTGCGCTCCCCTGCAGTCCCCTCCGCCAGCGGCTGCCCCTCCGCTTTCCCGCCTCTGCTAGAAGAAAGAAAAAATGTTAGGTGTGCACTCTGGGAGAGAGAGAGGGAGAGAGAGCTCATTCTAACTAGCTATGCGCCCCTCATCGTGTTCCATCAAGACCCTTGAAGAAAAAAAGACTCAAGCGCGTGCGCGGGAAAACGAGGGAGAGGAAGAGAGACCACAAAGGAGTGAGAGAGAGAGAGAGAGAGAGAGAGAGAGAGAGAGAGAGAGAGAGGCGTCACGCCTCTCCCCCCCATCAAGTGTAGGATCTGCTCCAAACATTTTCATAACTGATCCATGGTCCATCGATGCTTTTTTTCCCAAGAAAAAATTGATTTGCACACAAGCGCATGCGTGAAAGTGAGAGAGAGAGAGAGAGAGAGCAATGTAACTAACTATGTACAGTTTCATAGCTGATCCATGGTCCATGGAGACCTTTTTTTACCAAAAAACAAAAAGAGAAATTTGTATGCGCGCGCGAAAGCACAGAGAGAGAGAGAGAGAGAGAGAGAGAGTCCATTGAGACCTTTATAAAAATTTAAAAAAAGCACGCCTTTATAAAAATTTAAAAAAAGCACGCCCGAAAATGAGCAAGGGAGAGGGAGAGGGGGAGAGAGAGAGAGAGAGAGAGAGAGAGAGAGAGAGAGAGAGAGAGAGAGAGATCTAACTAACTATGCCCCCCCCCCCGCCTCCCGGCAACTATCAAGTGTGGTATCTGCATGCTCCGATCAGTTTCAT